TTTTTTTTTTTTTGGTTTTTCAAGACAGGGTTTCTCTGTGTAGCCCTGGCTGTCCTGGAACTCACTCTGTAGACCAGGCTGTCCTCGAACTCAAAAATCCGCCTGCCTCTGCCTCCCAAGTGCTGGGATTAAAGGCGTGCGACACCACCGCCCGGCTATTTAGTTCTAATAGAACTATTAAAAAAAAAAAAGACCCTGTCAAGAAAAATAGATATAGAAAAAAAGCAAACTGAATTAACAACAACAACAAAACCCCCACAAGAACAGAGCAGATAGTTGGGTTGGGGAAATGAATCGAAGGGAGAAAAACGTAGAAAAGAGAAGCATCTTTAAGGAGCTTTACTAGATAAAGGCTGTTGACTTTTCTGGGGTGAGTCCTCTTGTGACTCAGAACTCACTCTTTAAGGCACCTACTTGAGGAGTGGGTAGTTTCAAGCAGCCTGAGCTACCTGGATGTTCCCTGGAAACAATGTTGAATGCTTCTATCTACTGACCCACAGCTAAAGGATCACCAGCTATAGGCAGAGGTGCCAAGGGTGTCCTGGTAGTGATCACTAGAATTGGTGGCATAACAAGTAACTAAACTCGGTGAAGCCAGAGGCACAGTCCATGCTTTCCCAGATTGAGAATGACAAAGCCAACTGCCACAGAGTAATTAATATTCCTCATTCCTCGTCAGTGTTTCCTGTGACCTCAGGAGCCAAGAACACAGGAGAGTGGGAGCAGAGAGACAAGAGAATGACAATTACAAGACTTGACTATAAGTGCCTGCAGGGGCCAAAAGAGGTTGTTGAATCAGTGGAACTGCTGTTATAGACAATTGTGGGCCCCCATGTGGCTGCTGGAAATTAAACCTGGATCCTCTGGAAGAGAAGTCTTAACCTCTCAGTCATCTCTTCAGACCCAAATTTTATACCCTTTAATGTTTGTTTGTTATTTTGAGACAGGATTTCTCTGCGTGGCCCTGGCTGTTCTAGAACTGGATCTGTGTACCAAGGTGGCCATGAACTCATAGATCTACCTGCCTCTGCCACTCAAGTGTTGAGATTAAAGGTGTGCACCACCATGCTCATCTGCCTTTTATTTGTTTATGATAGTGGTGCTTCCCTAAAGGCTTTTTTTGTGAGGTAGCACATGTTAGCCTACTCTGTAGCTGTGGGTAAGTCCTTTGGGCTATCAATGTCACTTTGTAGATCTCTTTCCCAGGCATATTAGGTCCCCTGGAGCCCTCTCACACTGAACCTGTGAAACCCTGATTAGTCCCCTAAGACTTGGGATAGAGAATGATGAGGGATAGGTGGTGTGACACCACTGGGGTAGCACAGCTTCTAGGCAGGTCTCTCCTCTCCTATCTATCCACTCAGGACAGTGATCCTTAAATGTAAATCCCTTTGGCATGGGACTCTTTGCTTAATAACTTTCTCTGTCCCTTCCATATCACAGGGATTCAAGTGCCTAAGATCAACCTTTAGTGAAGAGGGACTGAAGCTGACCAACATGCAACTCTATTTCCTCACTGCTCAGAGAGACTTTAAAAACTTATGTAACTCTGTGAAGAGAAAAGAGAAGATACAGTAGATGTACAATTCCATGAAGAGCTGAAAGATTACCACTGGGGACACTGTGTCCTTGAGTTGTCTCAGGAGTCAGAGTGAGGATGAGCTTCTCTTGCCCACTGAGTTGCTTCTTCATGCCTGGTTGCTCCGTGGTTCCTAATGCTAAGGAACCATGCATCGGAAAGGCGTTTAATGTGAAGGTCTCTGAGCCGAGAGCTGAGTGCAGGGAAGGAGTTGGCTGTATTAGGACCAGTACAGGGTGTGGGGGAGGCTCTGACTGTGGCAGTCTTGAGTATGGAAGAAAGGAATGTGCTGGAGCTGGCACAGGACAATGACCAGGGAGGCGAGGACACAATATGTAATAGGCAGGCATGAGCCAGATACTGCAAGGCTGCCCATCGCAAATATGTGCAACATGTATATATGTGGCAAACCTGATCTCTCTTTTCTTCTCAGCTTTCCTTACTTGTATGAACCCAAGCTGGAGGCAGACATGGCTTGCTGCATTCCCTGGAGTATAGTATAAGGACATGACAGGAGAGTGAAGGAAGCATCCACCCCATGGATGATTATCTTCCCAATTACTGAGATTCTGTCTCAGCTTCCAGACACTCCTTTCCAACTAAAGAAATCAGTTCCCAACCCTTTCTTTTATATGTGGACAAGGAGAGGCTCTTTGTGGCTATGTAACTGAAGACTTATCATTATAGACAGTCCTTAAACTTAGAATGAGGTTAGCTCAGAACTGCTTCCATTTTCCCACCATGTTAAAAGGAATCTGGCCAACTTGAAAGAAGTTACTTCATATTTTTGGATCCTCATATTTTTTTTTTTTTTAGAAAGAAATGATGTCAAACTGAAGCAGGGTGATCATTTTCCTGAGGTGTGCATGCATTGCCCCCTGAGCTTTTGAGAACAGAGATGATAGATTGAGGAGGTGGTTCAGAGGGTGAAAAGCTTGAGGTTCAAGCATGTAGATCCATGTTCAAAGCCCCAGAAACTACATAAAGCTCAGTACAGTAGAGGGCCCCAAGTGATTCTCCTTCCCAGCCTCCCTCAGACCATATGTAAGGCATATGTGGTGTATGCCACCACAGCCTATGAATCTTTCTAGTCTTTTTTGTAGGAAGAAAAATGTAAAGTTTCCCCAAGAACTAATGTAACAATATAACACAGAGAAAAGACAATTGAATACCAAACAAACACCAAAGAACAAGCCAGTAAGTGAATTTTGATTGACAACACAGCCTGTTAGCATTTTTATTAAAATAAAACTTAATGTTGTAAATCATGTAATAAAGTGGATATTTCATGATGTGCTTGCCAAGTTATAGACATAGATGAAGAGACCACAAGAAATGATAATTTACTATCAATAAGCAAGTGCCCTGTAGGCAGAGCTGAGCACTGTAACAGTCAAGTAGACTGAAAACCAGAGTGAATCCTTGATATCATGGAGATCTGAGTTTAAACTGTAGCAAGACAGCTTCTGACCATCACTGATCCCAAGTTTAACCAGTCAAAAATTCAGGCTGGGAAGGTAGCTCATTGGCAGAGATCTTGATGAGCATGTACAGTGCTCTAAGTTAAATTACCAGTGAGAGAAACAGAATGGGGAAGATGTTTCCACATTGTTAGCTATTATAAAGCTGTGGGGAGGGGTTTTCTTTGGCTCTGGTGATGGTTATTTACTTAGAACCTCGTTCCCTTTCAGAGGCCTCTTTATCCTCGAGTAGGGGCTCATTGTGTCATCCATCACAAAGTCATACAGTGCCTTCACCCAGGAGCTGTGATGTGGGAGCTCATCGTAGTACTCAGCTGCGATTCTCCTCACCTGGAAGTGAGCACACAGAGAAGTGAGCTATGTCATTGAGGCCTCAGGACACAGACAGAGGGACAAAATCCAGCCAAAGGGCAACAACACCTCTGTTCATGAATAAGGACAATCTGTAGATCACACACATAACTGCCTCTACCGCAACCAACGTTGAATTTAGAGTCTAGCCAATGGCAATCAATTTAGCTTAGCAGCTGGAACAGAAAACCACTGGAGATCTAAAACTGTAAAATGACAGAGCCAGTTCAAAGTTCAGATCCTAAAAAAAGCACTTAAGATGCTCTTGAGGATTGAGAATATATTATCAACCAGGAGAAAATAAAAGTTGATATTTTTTTCATATTTTAAGGACATAAAATAAAAATTAATACATTTCTTACTGTTTGTTGTTATCCTAGAGAATTTATTAGTCTCATATCCAGTGCAATTCAAATGCTGACATTGTAAATCCCTGGGTATCCGCTGTCTTTACAATCTTGTGAACAGGTGGAAAAAGATATCCTTAAAAAGTGTTTTGTGAACAACAAATCTCAGTAAAAATAAGTAAAAAACAAACTTCAAAAATTGGAGTATTAGTTGGACATGGTGGTAAGTGCCTTTAATCCCAGCAATCAGGACACAGAGGCAGGTGGATCTCTATGAGTTAGAGGCCAGCCTGGTCTACAGAGTGAGCTTCAGGCCAGCCAAGGATTTCATAATTCAGTGATTCACAGAGGAAAGAAACAATATCTGTACTCTGTTCAGAGTAGACTGACACCAGGAACTGGAGGCTAGCGACATATCACACCAACTCAAGGTTGTGTTCACTCAACCACATGCTTTGTTTACACAAACCTTTATTCTGATTATGTAAGGATTATCAAAAAGTTGGAAGAATAGTCAAAGTAATCTTCAGCCACTTCTTCAGTTTACCAGTTCTGCAGCAGAGGTGCCCTCTGTGATGTTCTGTATAAAATGAGCCACAGCCTTTGCTCTTCTTGCTGAACATGTTGGGAGTTGCAGATGTAATTCATAGTTGTGCTGGGTCATCCCTCAGTATTTCGCCATGCCATATTTTATAAACCACAGTACTGTCACACTGCAGCTACATTGCACAATGCTTTATTTTGATGAGAGAACGTCTTGGCTTGAGGAGTATAGGATTGGTCCCTGTCCATTCATTTTGTAGATCATTTTTGCAGGTCACCTCATCTGTATTTCATAAAAGGGTGGGAAGATTATAGGAGCCCGGGGGTGGGTGAAGGATTGTTGCAAAATAGTGTCTTCTTGATTGAGTCAGTCAAAAAATCAAGCATAGAAGCATGCGAGGCACATGAAGCCCCTGGCTGAGGAGCTTTGGTTCTTACAGGCTTCTGGAGTAGGGAGGGTCAGTTCTCTCAGGACAGCCATCCCTGTAGGTTCTCCATGCTCTGTTAATGACCACACCCATGAAGCAAGGAGAGAATAGATGAGACCCAGTGGGCCATGAAACAAGGAGAGAATTGATGAGACCCAGTGGGCTATGAAAAGAAGACACGAATTGGAGGGAGAATTTGCCAGGGTCAGGGTCTTGTAAAATAGGGGATTGGTATTGTCAAAATATGCTGCATATATGTATGAAATTCCCAAAGAATGAAATAGAAAATACATACATCTTAACAGAGCCTGTCAGCTCAAAATGCAGCTGGTGTTCCCTTTACACAGGAATTTGATTTTTAATTGAGGTGTTTTTTTTTTTATCAAGTAATAAGTTTGTACATCTTCTGACACTTCTGAATTCTAATCGTGATCATCAAGTGTAAGGATCAAAGAGAGTGAAGGTTACTAAAACTAGTCTGTCAGACACTGGGTGTACACTATGCTTTCCTTTTTATTTTGAAGTAAATTTTTGTTTGATAAAACATACTTTTTTTTAATGAACAAGGAAAGGCTAATTTAATTTAGATCCATCAGAAATTAAAACAATAAATCAGAACTTCTCTTACCTGTGGAAGACGACTTCCAGGAACACTGGGGAAGTCATGATGTTCGTTGTGATAGCCTCCGTTGAACATGAAAAGGTTGAGAGGCCCATAATATGAGTTTGTGTCTTGCCCCTTTAAGAACATGTAGTGGTCAGCTATAAAATGCCCAGAAATTGGGTTCAAACCCAGGCCAAGTAGGGAGGCCAACATGTAGACTAAAGATTTAATTCCAAAAACATAGTAAACTATAATGTTAAAAATGATCTGGGTCACAATATTGATAGTTTCCAGATAAGTAACTGGTTTGGGGTTGACGAAGTAAGGTCTAAGAAAAAGAAACAAAGGCTGAAAAACAACCCATATAAGCTTCCTGAAAGTGGTGCAGAAGAACCAGCCCTCAAAGTCAGAAGGAGCATCCACATCAATGCCAGCAGCTCCAAGGTATCGATGGTGATCTATGTGATACATTTTATAGGAAATTGAATATGGAACCCCAAAAGGGAGATTAGTAAATATTCCAAACCAGCGGTTCCACAGAGCCCTGTGGTGGCCAAAGGGGAAATTGTGGGAAATCTCATGGATAGCCAGAGTCACTGAGTGGTTAATGGAGCTGCCAAAGACAAAGGCCCAAAATATGACCCATTTCCACTGTAAGTCTTTGACTAAGTAAAATGAAGCCAACTGGACAAGAAGCATCATGGTTATGATCCAGATCAGGTTAGGGTCGGGTTTCATCAAGGATTTTATCTCTGGATACTTTGCTGTAAGAAAAAAATACAACAAGAATTATAAGTGGAAAAAATACAATATAATTATACACAATTATAATCAACACACCTAAGAAATTATAATGAGGTCTGGAGAGACAGAGCTTAGTGGAGAGACAGTGCTTGTGTGTAGAAATGAGGATCTGAGTTTGATCTCCAGAACCCAAGGCAAAGAGCCAAGTGTGCTAGCAAGATTTTGTAACCTCTAAGCTAAGAGGGCAGAGACAGGTAGGTCCTTAGGGCTACATTAAGTAAAGTTTCCTAGCTCAATGTTTTACCATCTGCAAGGGTATAATGACAAATCAAGATTGATAAAGTATGCATCCCTTGCTGAAATAGTTTATTATCATTTAGTTAGTATTTTGAGCACTTAATAATATGAGAAATATTGTACTATAATAAAATACTGTAATTATCCTTTTTCTAATTTTTTTTTTTTGGTTTTTCGAGACAGGGTTTCTTTGTGTAGCCCTGGCTGTCCTAGAACTCACTCTGTAGACCAGGCTGGCCTCGAACTCAGAAATCTGCCTGCCTCTGCCTCCCAAGTGCTGGGATTAAAGGCGTGCGAATATTCTTTTTTCTAAAGATTTATTTATTGCGTGTATGTGAGTACACTGTCGCTGCCTTCAGACACACCAGAAGAGGGCACCAGATCTCATTACAGATGGTTGTGAGCCACCATGTGGTTGCTGGGAATTGAACTCAGGACCTCTGGGAGAGCAGTCAGTGTTGTAAGCCACTGAGCCATCTCTCCTGCCCCCTCTAAGTATTCTTGAATTTAGGTGACAGATTTTATCCTTCAACAAAAGACATGATATAGATGAAATACTAGTGTATTTAACAATTATAGAAAAATAAGAAGATTTAGCCATACTCTAAAAAGCATAGTGCAGATATTAACAAAACTGGTTGTTTCCCATACACGGACTGAATAATATAATGAGAAGAAATAGTCAAAGCATGAACAACTATGTAAAGAGTCTCAGTCTGGGCATGGTGGTGCACACCGTCCATCACTCAGGAGGCAGAGGTAGGACATCTCCGAGAGTGAGGTCAGTCTGGGCTACAAGGTGAGTTCCTCAACATTCAGGGATATGTAGAGAGACCTTGTCTTGAAAGAAAAGATTCTCAGGACATAGAAATTAAGTCAGGAATGCTCAAATTAGAAAAAATCTCTTAGGGCCTAAAACTTTGACAGGTAGTTTTGTTATTTTAGTCAAAAGTTCTTTGGGAAGTAAATATAAAACTTGCTTTTATGTTTATGTAATACAAATTTCATCTCTTTGGAGTGTGTGTACCAGGAATAGATCCTGGCACATGCAAGAGAAGTGAGCCCTACCCTGAGCCCTAGAGATCTGAAGTATTGTTTTTAGATGGACTCGTGCTTTGTTGTCCAGGGTGGTCATATCGCCCAATGTCTTTACTTTGTTAATGGGAAAAGCATGATATAGACTAATTCTATATATCTTTTTATTTAAATTACCATTTTATTTATTTTTAATAATGTATTTATTTTTGTTTAGTTATATATTTGTGCCCTGAGTTTTGCCTATCTGTATGTCTGTATGAGGGTGTCAGATCCCCTGGAACAATAGTTATAGACTATTGTGAACTGTCTTGTGCGTACTGGGAACTGAACCTTGGTCCTTTGGAAGAACAGCCAGTGCTCTTAACTACTGAGCCATGTCTCCAGCCCCCAAGTTACCATTTTATAAATATATTAATTATACATATTAATGAGCTTCAGTGTGCTTTTTTTCATGCACATATAGCCCGTGCAGATCAAACCTTCTGTTTTCCTTTCCCACTTTTCCTCCATTCACTTCCTAACCTCTAGTAACTGTGATTCCACTTTCAAGTCAGCTTCCTCTGGCTTCTGCATGTGGAGGAGAAGCTGTGGTGCTTATCTTTCTGTCTCGTTTACATTTAACACAATTATCTCTAGTTCACCACATTATCTACTAATTACTGCATGTGTATGGTTCTGTGTGCAAAGGTCAATGTCCTTAGTCACTGTCCACCTCAGATTTTACAGGTTCTTTTTAAAGATTTATTTATGTATATAAGTGTTTTGCCTGCATGTATATAGATGTTCCACATGTGTGCATGGTGTACATTGATGTCAGAAGAGGACATCAGATCTCCTGGAACTAGAGTTACCAATGACTGTGAGCCATCATGTGAGGGCCTGGGTCTTCTGTAAGAGCAGTAAAGTACTCTTAACCACTGAGGCATCTCTCCACAACTCCACCTTGTATTTTGAGACAGAGCCTATAGCTGAATTTGAAGCTCACTGATTGACTATGCTTACTGACCAAAAAGCCCCAGAGATCCTCCTGTCTCTGTGACCCCTGTTCCAGAATGGCTGACACATGCATCTGCACCTGGCTTTAACATCAGTGCTGAGTCCTCATGCCTGCATGACAAGCACTTACAGACCTCTGAGATCTTTCTCCAGCTCATTTCGTTCTTCATTGCCACAGTAGTTTAATGATACACTGTTGTGCGCCTCACACTTTCTTTATCCCACCTGCTTGTTGATGAGCACCTCAGCGAATTCCATAGTTTAGCTGTTGGGAACGCCGTAACACATAAGAATGTGCAGTGTCTCTTTTATATGCCGATTTGTGTTCATTTTAGAGGCATAGCAGGAAGTAGGAGAAATGAATAGATATGAAACTTATTTTTGGTGTTTTTGGGGAATAATAGAACTTTTAAGAATTGTTTGAGAAAACTTCATACTGTTCTTCATAATAACTATATAGTTTATGCCCCCAATAGCAGTGTGTAAATGTTTCTTTTCTCTGTATCCTCCCCAGTGTTAAACAGGTACAGTCATTTAACTTGGAGTGGAATATTACTATAGTTTCAGTTACATTTCTCTAATGTCTAAGGATACTAAGAATTTTTTCATCGATTTCCTGGTCATTTGTGGATTTTGTTTGTTTTGTTTTTGAAAAGTGTCTCTTGAAATCATTTACTCCTTTTAAACTTGGGTTAGCGGATGTTTTGTTGTTGTAATCCTCATGTATTCTACTATTAGCTCTGGCACATGACTAGCTGGCAAATGTCTTGCATTCTGTACATTTTCTCCTTGCACAGTTGATTATTTTCTCTCCTCTGCAGAAGGTTAAAATCCTATTTTCAATTGTTGTTGCCTTTTAACTCCAATCCAGAAAATGATTGCTGTGTCAGCATCCCAACAGTTTCTCCTGTGTCTTCTGTCAGCTGTTTCTGGTCTTATATTTAGGCACTGATGCCTTTGCGATTGTATTTTGTTGTTTTGACAGGGTCTCTTCCACGTAGTTTGCCTGGTCTGGAACTCACAGCAACCTGCCTGCCTGGGGTTAAAATTGTGTGCCTCCTAACCCAGTTTGAGTCAGTTTTTTAGTATGTTATAAGAGTCAAATTTCAATGTCATATATGTAAATAATTCCATGATTTTGTGTGTCTACTTCAGTTTTTCATCAATATTATTGAATTTTCATTGTTGAAGTCTATTATTTCATTGGTAACATTTATTTTGTGCTATTTAACTTACAGATATTGTGAAGGTGACTGACTTAGTGTTTTTCTTTCTCATCAAGTATTTTTTGGGGGGCAATACAGGGAAGCTAGGGATTTTTAGTTTAAAAAAAGTTATTTTATGTAAGCTAGACATAATAGCTTACACCTTTAATTCCAGCACTCAAGAGGCAGAGGCAGGCAGATCTCTGTGATCTCAGAAACAGCCTCACTTACAAAAACAAATTCTAGGACAGTCAGGGCTACACAGAGAAATTCTGTCTCGAAAAAAAAAGATTTTGTATGTGAATGTTCTGCCTGTATGTATGTATGTATGTATGTATGTATGTATGTATGTGTCAGAGGAGACTGTTGGATGCCCTGGCACTGGAATAACAAATGTTTGTGAATCACCATGTCAGTGCCAGGAAGCAAATCGGAAGTTTCTGCAAGAGCAATATGTTCTCTAAACTTCTGAGCCATCTCTCCAACCCCAAAAGTAAAAAAATATTTTTAAAGATATATTCTTGCTGTATTGGCAAGATCGGTCTCAGACTTGTGGATTCATGCAAACCTCCCGCCTCAGCCTCCCAAATAGCAAGTACACAGGTGTGCAGTCATGACCAGCAAATAAGCTACTGTTTGTATGCTGATGTTGTGTTCCGCCATGTTAGTGAGTTTGCTAGTTCCAGTAGCGTTTGTGTGGAGTCTGTTTTTCTACCTGTACTGTCACATGGGCAGACAGAACATTGGACTTTCCACCTTATTTGTATCTCCTGCCTTCTATCACCTATTGACTCCTTCTAAAACGTTGTAGGAACAGTAAGTGGCACCCTTGCCTTCTTCCTGAATGCAGAGCAAATGCTTCGGGTTCTTATTCAGAAAAGGGGAAGAAAAGGTGAGGGGAAAGAGAACAGGGTAGGAGAGAGAGAAAGAGAGGGGGGTAATGAGAGAGAGAACAGTAAGTGGCACCCCTGCCTTCTTCCTGAATGCAGAGAAAATGCTTTGAGTTCTTTCCTTGTTCAGTATGATACTGGCTGTGGCCTCTTGTGGGCTGTTCGAGCATCCAACCATCCAGCTACGTCCCCAGCCCCACTTCCATAAATTCTCTGCCAAGCATTTCACTCACAGAAGTTTCTGCAACTTCCATTGCTAAAAGCCAGTTCTGTTCTTTTTCTGGCATCCTATTACCTTGTTTCACTTAAATTCTGTAGTTTGTTTTGAGATTTTTGAGTGTGTTTGGTAGATCAGTCATCTCTGCCAGTTTTATGGTGTAGACTTCTTAGAAAGTGATTTTCCTTTGAAGATGTGCCTGAAGTGGGAGTTTGTTGTGCACTGTTGACTGTATTCCAATATAGTCTCCCTATCCCATCTGTGGCTGTGACTGATGACTTTGTCCCAATGTATCCTATAGCAGAGGCAGTGACAGCCACTTTCCTCTAGGGTGTTCTGACAGTGGGGACATGCAAATAGTTCAGGCAGCGTGTTGTAGACAGCAGTGGATATGAAGTCCTCACAGTCCAGCTTCTTGTTTGGTGCAGCTGGAGATCTGTGTAGGGCAGTGGGCACTGTGGAGGCTAACTCTGCAGTGACAAGGGCCTGTGCACTGTCAGCCCCTGCATTGGTGAAGTGCCGAAGCCTTGTTCTCTGACCTCTCAGAGATACGGGCTCACAGAGGCAGCGGTGGGAAGCACAGCACCCTCTCTTTGGCACCTTCGCCCCAGCACACTCTTTCAGCTGAAGTGCATTCCTGGAGCAGAAGCGCATCTGGAGGGAGCTGGGTGGAGTTTCTCTCCATCTCCTGTGCTCTTGGACACCCCTAAGGGGATAAAGCATGAAGTGGACTTCTAGCACTAACTCTAAATGTAGATGGAAAGCGTCGGAACTCCTGTCTTCCCCAAAGGTCAACGTGTATTTCAGAAGTACACTGTCATTTGGATGATGTCATTTAAATAGGTTCCCATGGTCTGTTTCCTTCCTTCCTTTATGTCTCCAGAAATGGAACACTGAGGGGTAAAAAGGGTATTTTTCATCACACCATTTAGCTTTTCAAGGGAGATAGTTCATGGGTGATAAGTTGTGCAGAAAGATTCAATGCTAGAAAAGCATAAAAAGCACACTTTATTGCTTCATTGATTTTTCTGATTACTGAAGAGAAAACTAAATTTGAGCATCACTTTCTGCAAGGTTGGCCATCACATTGTTCTTATGCAAGATGCAGATAAGGTTTAGATAAGATGTACCACATAGTAGCTCATATAAAACAGGTACAAGTGAGCTGCAATATTGTTCAGGAAGACGGAAGAAACCCAAGAATTAGATAAAAGTCTTCTATGGGGCTACCTTAAAATGCAATGTAAAGGTTGCCACACACACTGCTGTGAACTCATCTAACATAAGACATTTCTAACTTAGATACTCATAAAACTTGGAGCCTTGTCTTTTCTTTGGACAAATGTTGCCAAGGCTGCTGCTATGTGAAGCCCTGGGTTTGGTCTCACTGGAGGGAGGGAGCTCCTCATATTCAAAGCCCTTCCCATAGGTTTCATTGGTTTTAAGCAACCAACTTATTGGTTAGAAGCATATTCTGTGTAGACTGCCAGCCCAGATTAGCATCCTCCTAGCATTTATCTCCTTCCCTCTCACTGCACCTTTAAAAGGCAGAAAAGTAGGGAGACTGCCATGAGAGAAGTCAGGCAATACTGAAAAGCAACCAGCTCAAAAGCCTGCAGGTCATGAAGGGGAGCCTGGGAGAGATGAGAGAGCTCTCTGTGAAACACAGACGTTCCAGTATACTCTAGAGCTGTAAGGCCCGCTTAGCCTGCGATAAACACCCTAAGTGAACAAACTGTCAGGACAAGCCAGGTTGTAGTATTAGGCTGGTCATCTGTGCTTTAGTGTCTTCACGCTAACACCATAAAGGAGGAAAAGTGTCTATGAACTGCCCTTCCGATGTCACACGATTGTGGGAGATTCACAAAGAAGCACACCAGAACCTGGCTTCTCTAATAAGCCCTGCAGTCCCATCACCAGTGAGGACTTCAGACTGCACTGCTTCATGCTTACTTGGCTCCAAGGGTCCCAGAATTTCCCAGAGCTACTTCCTGAGCCACACACTCCAGTGGCAGCCTATTTAGGTAAATCACTACCCAGTGGTCATCTGAGGAATCTTCTAGCTAATGGATAAGGCCTGGGATTTCTCAGGCTGAAGATCACCAGGTTCAGCTGGGATTGCCCACACTCAGGGACTGGCCTGTGCCACTTCACCACACGGGTGAATCTTGGTGGTGGTGGTGGTGGTGGTGGTGGTGTGTGTGTGTGTGTGTGTGTGTGTGTGTGTGTGAGAGAGAGAGAGAGAGAGACAGAGAGAGAGAGAGAGAGAGACAGAGAGAGAGAGAGACAGAGAGAGAGAGAGAGAGAGACAGAGAGAGAGAGAGAGAGAGACAGAGAGAGAGAGAGAGACAGAGAGAGAGAGAGAGAGAGAGAGAGAGAGAGAGAGAGAGAGAGAGAGAGAGAGAGAGAGAGAGATGATTGGGGTGAAGATTGGGGTGAATACATCCCTAAGGCTGAGCACCCTGAGTCCAGACCGGGCTTCTCTTTCTGCTGGGCTCCAGGTACTGGCTACACACTCTGAAACATATGCACAAGACCTCACCCAGGATCTCCCGTCTCCTCTGCGCATGTGGCTCATCCGTGTAGACCCACTCAAAATCTTCCCGAGAAACATGGCTGCCCATTGCTCTGCGCGGACCTCTCTGGGTTCTGCTCCAAGTCCAACGTCTTGAAAGCAAAGGAGGTAGAAGCTGCTGCAAGCTCTGGTCGGCAGGTTCCTGTGCTGGGTTGAGTAGAGTAGCAGGTGGGCAGAGCCCAGCCTGCTCCTCCCACTCACCCCACCCAACCCTCTTCTGGCTCCTAGCTCTGGGGCCAGAGTAGGAAGAATTTGTTGCTAGCTAGGTCTGAGGTTCCTTAGTGCATGAGCACCCGTGGGGTCCAGCTCCTGTGTCTACTGTCTATCCCTCATCTCAGGACAAAATGGGAAAGGAAAGAAATGTCTGAGGGTAGAGAGGCTGCTGCCCAGAACCTCCTGGAACTGAGGATCCTAAGGTGGCTGCAAGTTTTCAAGACAGGAGGCTGCCCGCTTTTACACACTCAGCACCCTGAATTGTGGTTAGATGTTTAGGTTCCAAAGCAAATGACCAGCAGAGCCCGCTGTGTCTGCTTCTCAAACAGAAAGGTTCTTGCACCCAGAAGAACACAGGTGCTGGAAAGCCAGCAGCCAAACAAGAGCTTGTGAGAAAGACCACATAGAATCTGTCATTCTGATGTATGTCAAGAGCGGACATTGTGTTTCAAAATTAACTACCACTGTGGGTCCAGAAAAGAAACCAAGACGAGGATGGCAGAAGGTAGACAGTGTGCTTCCTAATAACAGGACACACCATACACTCTAGCTAAACTACACACTCCCACACCATGCCACACACACACACAGACCCAAATCCATTGAGTCCCCTGGCTCAGATTGCCACTGTATAGAAACTAGGAAGGACAGAGGGCAATGCACAGCACAGAGGTGCTGTCAGTCTGAGCTGTCTGTAGAGAGCAGTGACCACAGTGACCCAGGTTTTCAATAATTATAATTCTAGGGACATAAAAAAAGGGATCTGAAAGAAGGAAAGGCTGTTGAAAGATGTTCAACCACCTTCAGTGCGTTTGACATATTAAGATTAGGATACAGATTTTGTAGTTTTAAAAACAGATTTGGCATTTAATTTAAATCACTGGAGGTGTCAGGAAGTTACCGTTAAAATGTTAATGAGGATATAGTATTTTATGGTTATAGTTTCTCAAAAGAGTTCTTCTCCTTTAGAGGTAAGTACCAGATAAATACCAGGAAAAAGTACCCTAAACTAAGACAGCTACAATAGGAAGCTATGCTGTGCTACTGCTACAAACTAGAGTTCTCCATGTATTAATATGAAATAGACCCCAAGGCATATCATGTGTTAGATGTAAAGCAGTAGGCATGAACAGTAGGCTACACAATAAATGTACATGCTTTCTTGCATATGCATAAATACACAAGTCACGCAAGCATGGACTACATCGTGCAGGAGGAAGTGGGTGAGAGGATGCCAGTGGAATAGTTTCCCATTAAATGTAAACAGTGACCCTCAGGGTGCTGTGATTTCAGTGTGTGCCCCTTTGCCAAGGCACTAGTCATTTTAAAGCAATTTTCCAGGAATATTTTCCTTGTGTGTGCTTTCCTTAAAACTCACAAACGTACTTCTTCACCATGTCCAAGGTCTCTCCACAGAGCTACGTTTTCCCCATAAGCTTTGTGAAGGCTCAACCCACCTTAAGATCCTAGCCACAGTGCTCCCCACCCTTGTCTGTAGGGTGGGAGCATGTGCTCACCCTGGGTCCTCCAGTTTGCACACTGCATGAAGAATAACAGCTTCCCACAGCCCCTGCCCTCCCTGTATCTCCAGCTATGCTTAGGTTTTTCACTTGCTGTCAGCACCCCTGATTCAGGCCAACCCTGGAGCTTGCTGGTACACAAACTGGTGCCTGCTTAGACTGTTTTCTTGATTCCCTCTTGATATCAGAGCTCAAGTGTATGTCCTGGGCTGGCCTTTTCTGGCTGCTTGGGAGCGTTTTGGACTCTCTCCCATTCTGTTACATTGAGAATTTGTAAATGTAGACTCTATGGAAGGGTAAGGAGAAATAAAATCAGATAAAAATGTAACCTTTTAAAAAGTAGAGTTTGAAATTCTAAGAAAAGAATTTGAGGGCTAGAATGATTATGATAGAGACCCACTGCTTTAGCTGTATCTAGATTTGCAGTTTCAAAAGCTTTGTGGTGTAAGAAGAAAAAAGTAATGTGAGCAAAGCATGGGCCAATGCTTTAGAATTTGAAATGTCCTCAGTTTGTTATCTAGCTTTTATCTTTCTTATTAGTCTTGGCAAGAGGTTTCAATGATGTAGTTACCCTGTCATTCTGGAAGACACAGCTAGTGTCATGTGAAGGCCCTGGCAAGTCTGCAGAGCTCCTGACATGGCAGGCAGCGTCAGGTGAGGTACGAAGCCTTCCCTCTGCTTCTCTAACTGATTAGTTCATTAACTGTGATCTGGGCTATGTGCTTGAGACAGGTGACCGACCCTCTCTAGGTGATGCTGCTGTCACATCTGTGATCCCCTTTCCTCGGACTGGGACTCGCCACCACACCCAGCTACCATTTCATTTTCGAGCAGACATTTGAATGATCTTTCCTTCTTTCTTTCTTTCTTTCTTTCTTTCTTTTCTTTTTTTTTTTTTGTGTGTGTGTGAGACAGGGTTTCTCTGTGCAGCCCTGGCTGTCCTGGAACTCACTCTGTAAACCAGGCTGGCCTCGAACTCAGAAATTCGCCTGCCTCTGCCTCCCAAGTGCTGGGATTAAAGGCGTGGACTTGAATGATCTTTCAATTGAACTTTTATAATGACTTTAAAAGGTTCGTGCCTGTGAGATGCTTTGTCAGTGTTAATTCACAGGAGGAAAATTATAGTAAGCATTCCTTACTCACTTTAGAACAAACATTGATCATAATATCTTCTTCTGGATATCAAGTGGGCCCAGCATCCAGTCTGTAATTCTTTGCCAATAAATATGTGATTTGTCCTTGTGCTTTTATACTAATAACAATATTTTTCAGTTAAAACACCCACAAGTATGTCTAATTAGAGCAGAGCCGATATGAGACCAATATTCCACCATGCCTGTCAGCGGTCTGCCCCTCAGGCCTCCCTTGGCATTGCTGTCCCTGGCTGGCACCGGAGGCTACTGTGCCATTTACTGCTGGCATTTCTAGGTCCACATGCTGTCCAGTCTCAGTGTCTACCAGCTGAGCTGCTTCACCTTCTCTTCTAGCACACAGCCTTCCCAGGGCTCTGGGCCTCCCTCTTTCAGAGGGATGCCTTCCAGTGGCTCAGTTGCTCGCTCAGTTCTGTGGGATACTTTGGGGTTCTGTGGGTTTGTCCTCATGCGTGTGGATTTAGACATCTCAGGTCCCAATTGTTAATCTACTGCTCAAGTGGCATGTGGCAGGTGAACACCCTGTGATGTTAGGCTGTCTGGTTATCCTACAAAACCCAGATGATCACTTCTGCTTTCCTTTTGCTTCCCAACTCAGCTCAAGACCAAAAGCAGACTGTGGGGGAAACAGTTTCATGATCTCAACAGCAGCAACAAATGTGATGGAATCCAGTTCCTTTTTTAGCATCATTTTTCATACAATCCGATGGGACTGACTTGTCAAAGTAAGATAGATTGAAAAAGTAATGTACAAAAGCACTCTGTGTTTTTATATGCCAGCAATGACTGTTTCAAAGTTGCAGTTAAATGGAACAACAACACTTATGAAGACTCAAAAAATGCGTCTAGAAACAAATCTAACCAAAGGTTTGCTAGACCATTAAGATTAAATGTCAACAGTTAGGTTGGAAGTATACAAGGGAGTGAAGCTGGGCTTGGTGGTGACAAGCAGTCTACCGCTCAGCACCAAACTCTGGCCAATAGCATTAGCTCTTTATAAAAAAGACAGACATTAAAGACATGCATACTCCATGAAACAGACAATACTAATAGACTGGGTTAAATCCCATAAAAATGTTAGTTAGTTGCCCCATTCAGTTAGTTGACTGACAGATTCTAACAAAGTTCCAAGTAGAATTTTGTTGGAAATTGTGCAGATGGTTTTTCAATTCACATGGAAGAATAACAACAAAACCAAGTAACACCAAGATATCTGCAGAGAAGAAGGAAAATGACCTTGCCGGAAGTTGTAAGTTTTTATACATTTTTAATATGTCATTTATAGAGCACCATGGCTATCTCAGGCTGCTGTAAAAAAAATTATCATAGACAAGGTGGATCCCGGAAAACAAAGACATGTTCTTCTAAGTCACAGGTAGACAACTGTATGACCTTGGCACTGGCAGTTTTACTGGTGAGGTAACTCTTCCTAATTCATACAGGACATCTTCTCTCTGTGTCCTCAGGGAAGCTCCCCTGGGTTTTGTTTTGTTTTGTTTTTTTAAATGGGGGAATTAGTCCTATAAATGAAATTCTACTCTCACTTCTTCAGGGCCATGCCTAGAAATACCATAACATTGGTATGCAGCAGATGAGTTTTCCTGGAGGAAACAATATTATTGACAAATACATAAAGAACCTAATAATAGGAGCAGAAGACAATGTCCAGCAAGAAATCCTACGAGTATGTAGTACTGTAAGATCAGTGAAGAAGAGAAAGTTGTGAGACCAACCCACCTGCACTGTACACCAACACCGATTCCGGCAGACAACGACTGAGATGTGGACAGTAAGACTAAGACGCTTTTAAACCTAGGAGACATAGAACGTGTTACAGTTAGGGGAAGACTTAATAAAAGACAAAAAGCACATGGAGATACATTGGTCACTAAGTGTGCGCCTCAGTGGTCGAGGGCATGCTTAGCTTGAAGAGGCTGCAGGTACATTCCTGGAACCACAAACCAAGAGCAAAGAAGAGAACAGTTAAGATCTGTTTGTGACAAGACTCCAGAGACATGAGTGGAAAGTCAAGCTGCACACCAAGAGAAAGTGACTGCAACATGTATGATCAAGGAAGAGTTCTGACCCAAAATACAAGGAGGAAAGAGGAATAGTAAACAAGAAACAAAGGACTTATCAGGACAAGAAGCACTGTGGCTTTGCAGTCAAGGTCTAATGAGGAGGACACGAGCCCTTTCAAGGCCTGATAACATAGGATTCTAT